CATTTAAGACCCGCGAACGGCGCGTGATCCGTTGTAGTTCGGTTTTCTGGCAAAATTCGGGAGACCAAAGTCGATAGTTTAAGAAGTTAATTGCGAATAATAATTCGAGTCACAGTTTCAATAATAATTGTTATTTCGGCCCAATTGCGGCACTACGTCAAAAAGCCCCCCCCCCCCCCGCCCACGGGCCATGCTCGCTGGGGGAGCGGTTTATGTCCCCCCCAGTGTCCCGTTGTTATGGGGACATCAGCCTAAATTGGCGAGAGGGGGACCACCGCCCCTCTCGCCTCCCTCCCGGTGTTATTCCCGGGGAGGGCGTAATCGGGCCCAGGCACCCCACCTGGCCTCCGACCACCGGACCCGGCTCGGGGTGAGACGTCCGCGACGCAATAGCGGACGTCCCCCCGAACTGCCGGGACCCTGCGCGATCGCTGAGGGAGTTCGATGGGGCCGGGTCCGATTGCGACCCCGCCCCCCCTGCGTGCGCTACCCCTCTGCTGGGGCGGGTCTCTGGAGTGGCCAGGGGCAGTTGTTGCCCCGGCCCCCATCGACCCACCCCGGGGGTTCCGTGGGGCGCGGCTGGCTGCCGCGCCACCGCGGCCGGAGGTCGTGGGGGGTCGGCGGGTCCTACCGGTAAACGGCCCTTCCCGCCTTTCCCCCCCGTCTCCTCCGGTCGCCTCTTCTCGAGTGCGGTCTCCCCGGCGTCCGCCGGGGAGCCGCTCCCGTTCGCGTTCGGCCTCCTCCTTCTGGAGCATCACTGCTTCACAGAAGGAGGAGACCGCCCTCCAGGACTCCTCGCCCTCGAGCATAGCCGCTACGATGCTCGAGAGCGAGAAGTCAATATCCCCTATTATATCGACGAGGGCACGGCGTTCGTTTGCCCACGCTGGGCACACCTCCAGCGTGTGCTGCGCCGTGTCCTCGTCCCCCCCCGCACAGTGGTGGCAGCGTGCGCTGTCCTCTTTCCCGATGCGACACAGGTATGAGCCAAAACACCCATGACCCGTGAATACCTGTGTCACATGGTACGACATCTCGCCACCCGCCCGATTGACCCACTTGATCAAATGGGGGCGGATGGCCTCGACGACGCGCCTCCCCGATGTATCTCGGGGGTTGGAGAGGTGTTCGTCCCACCTCTCCAGAGCGCGCCGTCTAGCTTGAAGCCTCACGGCGGCCTTGACCCTTGGGGTCAAAACCATGCCTAGCCCGCCAAACTCACGCGTACGCGCACCGCCGTGTGCGACACCGTCCTGTAACCTCGGACTACCCTGATGGCCACCCTCCTAAAAACGCGGCGCAGCAACATGCTGCCCCGCTTATTGGCCACCAGGGCGTCCGCCCACGCCGGTGACCCATAAAGGGCCACCGCCCAGACGGTGTTCGCATATAGGCGGCGCACCCGGCCATCCGGACCCCCAAGATTGGGCAAGAGTCGGCTGAGGCTTAGTGCCACCGACTCTGCCCTGGGGGCCAGAAGCTCAAAATGCCCGCCAAAGCTCCAAGCCGCGTTCAGGTAGAGACCAAGGTACTTCAACCTGTCTCCCACCCGGACGGAGATGTCACCCACCGCAACATGGGCGTCAACGGGGGGAGCCCCATGCTCCCCCTTGTGCACGAATAGCGCCTCGGTTTTGTGAGGCGCTACCTGCAGGCCCATGCCGCAAATCGCGCGGACAGCGCACGCTACCCCCACGTTGGCAGCCAAAACTGCTTCCCCCCAGCTCTCTCCCCCGGCCAACAGCAGAGTGTCGTCCGCGTAACAGACGACACTGCAGCCGGGGGGGAGGGCAATACCCAGCACCTTGTTATATGCGAGGTTCCACAGAGTGGGGCCCAACACGGACCCCTGTGGAACCCCACAGTATACACCCCTTCTGCTTAGGAGTACCCGGTGATCGGGGTACTCCAGCCACCTGTCCCGGAAGTAACTCCGTAGGACCTCCACCATGTAGGGGGGAAGGCCAAAGGTGTTCGCGGCCTCCCCCACCATACTCCAGGGCAGGGTGTTAAATGCATTGCGAATGTCTAACGACACCGCAAGTACCACCCTGCCCTCCTCCATAATGGACTCCGCGAGGGACCGGACGCGTAAGATCGCGTCAACGGTCGATCGGCCCCCGCGGAATCCATACTGGTCTCGGTGGAGGTCCATTCCTCCTCGGGACAGGTGTTGGACGAGGCGGTTCGCCAACACTCTCTCCAAGAGTTTACCCGCCTCGTCCAACAGGCAAATCGGCCTGTATGCAGAAAGGGCATTGCTGGGTTTGCCCCCCTTTGGGATGAGGACTAATCTAGCCCTCACCCATGCTGGGGGGAATATGCCCTCCCTGAGGCAGCTATTGAATAGCCGCCTCAGTCGCCCGGACAGTTGGGCTAAAGCCAGGACCCAGACCCGGCCGGGGATTCCGTCGGGACCCGGGGCCTTGTTGCCCCGGAGTCTCAGTCGACGAATCACACCGGCCATTTCTTCCTCTGAAACCTCCAAGTTCTCTGACCACGGGATGGTCGCCTCTTGGCGACCACCCGCGTCAAAAGGGGGGCCCTCAGATAGAAAGAGGGCCCCCAGGACATCTTCGAGGACTTGGGGTTCCAGGGATTCCGTCACGGGGGGCGCCCAAGGTTTCAGCTTGTTCATAACAAGCTTGTATGGGCGCCCCCATGGGTCTGCGTCCAAGGAGCGTAGGAGCTCGTTCCACGCTCGAGCCTTGGCCCGCCTGATCGCGGCGCTGAGGGAGTTCCGAGCGACGCGGAACCCCTCATACGCCTCAGCCGTCCTGTCGGCGTCGGATCGACGCCGGGCTCGGATGAAGCGGCGCCTGGCTGCGACGGAGAGTCGCCGAAGTTCAGCGATCTCCCCGCATCACCAGTACGCCGCCCTCCGCGGGCGGGGGTTGGTCCGGGGCATCGCGAAATCGCACGCGTCGCGAAGTGCGCCCCGGAACCACTCGACCTCGTTATTAATCCCCCGCCCTTCCCCCCCGGGACACGGCCAGTCGGCCGCAAGGACCCAGACCCGGCCGGGGATCCCGTCGGGACCCGGGGCCTTATTGCCCCGGAGTCTCAGTCGACGGATCACGCCGGCCATTTCCTCCTCTGTAACCTCCAAGTCCTCTGACCACGGGATGGTCGCCTCTTGGCGACCACCCGCGTCAAAAGGGGGGCCCTCGGATGGAAAGAGGGCCCCCAGGACCTCTTCGAGGACCTGGGGTTCCAGAGTTTCCGTCACGGGGGGCGCCCAAGCCTTCAGCTTGTTCATCACAAGCTTATAAGGGCGCCCCCATGGGTCTGCGTCCAAAGAGCGTAGGAGCTCGTCCCACGCTCGGGCTTTGGCCCGCCTGATCGCGGCGCTGAGGGAGTTCCGAGCGGCACGGAACCCCTCATACGCCTCAGCCGTCCTCTCGGCGTCGGATCGACGCCGGGCCCGGGTGAAGCGGCGCCTGGCTGCGACGGAGAGTCGCCGAAGTTCGGCGATCTCCCCATCCCACTAGTACGCCGCCCTCCGCGGGCGGGGGTTGGTCCGGGGCATCGCAAAATCGCACGCGTCGCGAAGTGCGCCCCGGAACCACTCGACCTCGTTATTGATCCCCCGCCCTTCCCCCCCGGGACACGGCCAGTCGGCCGCAAGGACGGCTGCGATCAGCCTATCCGGGCTCATCTTCTTAACGGCCCATCTCCTCGGCCGGGCATCTCCCCGGTCTTGGGAGTGGCTGAGCACCCCGTGGCGGGTGGCATTAAGGACCACCTCTATGTAGAGGTGGTCGGAGAGCGTCTCGCACTCTGCCACCCGCCAACTTACTATCATTCGTGCAGCGGAGGGGGTGGCCCACGTGATGTCCGGGACCGATTCCCCCTGCCACCGCACTAGGGTGCTCCTCGACCCCGTGTTAATTAAACACAGGCCGAGTGCCGCCGCCCAATCCTGTAGGGCCTCGCTTCTGGCGTCCGTGCGCCGAACCCCAACGCGTTGATTTCGCGTTGAAGTCCCCGGCCACAATGGTTGGACGGGGCATCTGTCGGCGAAAGCATGCCGACACCCCGTCCAGGAACGCCTCAAACTGGGCGAGGCCCACGCTCGGGTAGATGTATACTACCAACACCGAGATGGGCCCCCACTTGACCACCATCACTCCCGCCCCGGCCTCGACCGGTGTGCAAGGCGGGAGCGTGGGGTCATTCTTCCACGTGATCGCGACGGAGCCTGTTCGGTCGCCAATCCAGCATGGACTGGCTTCCGGAACGTAGTATGGCTCCGCCGCGATCCCCAACCCGAAACCACGCTCAGCCAGGCTATGCAAGAATAAGTCTTGCGCCCGGCGAGCGTGGTTCAGGATGGCTTGCAAGATGCCTAGGGGCATTATTTGTCGCCCCCTCATTTATTTATCTCCACCTCCGCCAATGGGGCGGGAGGAGTGGCGGCTTCAGGCCTGGCCTTTGGAGGCCTTTTTCTCTTTAGGGGCCTCAGATGAGGCCCCACTATCCTCCGCCCCGCGTTTGCGGGTGTCGGAGAAGGGGGCAGCGTTTTCGGCCGGTTTTGCCGGCCTAGACGCCGCCGCAGCACTCGCTGCTGGGGGGATCTCCCGCCGTCGGTCCGGCCGCCTTTTGGGTGGGGTGCATCTTGCACTTCCCACCCTGTGGTCAGCCGGACGACCCAATCCCGAGCAAACCGGGCACCTGACTTTGTCCTCGCAGTCGCGCGCCAGGTGTCCCGGTTTGCCGCATCTATAGCAGCAGCCCCGTCTGTCTATGGGGCTGCTGCAATGCTGCTGGACATGCCCCTTTTCCAAACAGCGGAAACATTGGAGGGGGCGCTTGTCCAGCAGCTCGACCTGGGCACGGGACCATCCCACCTGGATGGCCCGTGCCGCCGCCACTTTATTGGCGGCCCTTAATGGGCATTGCACCCACGCAGTGCCCAGGCCACTTGATGTCCCCTACCCGTATGTCCTCCGCCGCACAGCCTCCGTCCCTGGCCATGGCCGCCGCTTTGTCGGCAGCCT